TTAAGAGCTGAAGTCACCAGAACCTGCAGGCTTCCTCTTCACCTGCCTGAATTTCAACTAAAAGAAAAGTTTGAGCTAAACGGCTGCTACTTCAGCTGGACGCGAACCACACTGACGCGTCACGCATCACTGCCTTCTGTGTAAAATGCTGGAGAAACATGGAAAAACTACTCTGCATTAGAGCTGGGCGATAGAACGATAACGATATGTATTGCGAAATAACTTTTTCTCGATAGAAAAGTTAAACTATTGCGATAGACCTCATCTCTCCTGTCCTCTTAAAAAAAAAAAGAAGAAGAAGAAGAAGAACAGCCAATCCAAATTAAGTAGCGCAGAGCCGAACCAATCACAGCCGCAGCGTCACGTCAGGTGACTTGTTACGTGCAGCACAAGTGCCAAGCCGCACATGTGTATTTGGGAAGCAGCCAGCCACCGTGCCGCCCGGTAATGGAGGAAATGTGTGCCGACTAGAGAAACATCAACCGGGCGTGACCGAAGGTTACCGAAGAGAAAACAGATGATGGTTCCAACGCCGGAGAGATTGTCGAACGGAAGAGCCAGAGAAGCTCCGTAGTGTGAAGGTATTTCTGCTATTTCAAGTCTGACAAAAACAGAGTAGCTGCACTGTAAATGTGCCGAAAGCAAGTCTGGAAATACAATAAAGCGGTGCAGCTCAGTCTCTGACTGGAAGCGCTGATTCATCATTCGGCTTTTGTCAGACTAAAGTAACTGTTACAACTGTTTGAAAAGCTCAGCTATACAACAAGGAGAGATTGAGAATTTCCTTTTAGTTCTCAGTTTATTTGATATTGACAAAAGTTAGTCAGTTTTGTCTGTTCTTCTGTAAAACAAACTAAGATTTATTTTTAGAATTAATATTTTGTTTCTAAGTGGAATTGACAGTTTAGTCTGTTTCGTTTGTTCTGTTTTGAAACTTAAACGCTTTAGCGGCTGCCTTTTGTGTAGTTTGCAATATTTGCCTTTATTTATCTGAAAAAGTCTCATGTTCCCTAAGTACATCTACCCTGTTGAACTTATTATGGGAAATAAATATTTAAATAAAAACAAGCTGCTGATTATTTCACATTTTACTTGTGAGCTACGGCACATTTAAATCTTACAAATATAGTTATTTGGCTGATATCGTGATAGATATCGTTATCGCCTGAAATGAAAAAAACATATCGTGTTATGAAAAAATCTTATATCGCCCAGCTCTACTCTGCGTTTATTCTTTTACACAGTTTGGTGCTTAAATTATATTTTTACCAAGTCCTAAACATTATAAGAGAGACATTATAACCCCCAAACATACAATATGAAAAGGTTTAAAGCCAGACGTGTTTTCTTTCCCGTCTTTTACTCTCCCGCCTCGGCAGAGTAAAGTTTTCAAGGTGGAAAAAAAGTGTTGAAAGTTTGCTCCGTTAGTTTTATCTTTCAGAAGTAAAAGAAACATTAAGTTTGACGTCAAAGACTCTTCAGATAAAGTGGCTTCTGAGACATTTTCCCTCACAGGCCGGATGCTTTTTGTGCCTGCTGTCACCTCGAGCTGATTTCGACCCTGAAACACAAATTCTCCCATCAGCTAAAAAGATTGTGAAAAGCTTCGTCCTTTCTCTCGCTCAGAAGCATCAAAGACGAACACTTGGCCAAAAAGAAGATGCCAGAAAAAAGAAAAACGTGTTATCGGCTCAGTGCAGGAGGTCTAAACAAAGCTCTGGTTGTCACCTGAACTTCCTGCCCTCGCAAACACACCGTGCTGCCGGCTGTTTCAGAGTGCTGTGAGCGCTCAGGTCTCCGTGATGATGATGTCAGACATGGCGGCTGATCCTGCTGTTTGAAGAGTGTCTGCTGCAGTTGTGAACAAATCCAGTTCTGGTGTTGTAGCTCATAGCTGTGAAACGATGGTCTGTAAGAATATGATCACAGCCAGAAGCTCCTGGGTTTGAATCCACCCTCTCTGTGTGGGCTTTGGTCCTGGATCTTCTGTAGGTCTTTGACCGCCATCATTATTTAAGTCCTTGAGGTTTCAGTTTGTTTGACCTCGCCTAGTGTTTTTCTCTCTTGTTACTTCCTGCTTTATTTTGGTACTCTGTGTCTTCTTCCCCTCGACTTTTTCGTCTCGTTGGTTTGATTCTGTCCACCTGTGCCACGTTTCTCTGGCTGTCTTCTCGGTCGGTTCATCTTCTTCGTGGTCTCCTGCTCCTGTTCCAGTATTTTGGATTCTGGTACCCTTACTCAGTTTTGGACTGCTAATGGACATTTTTCTCCAGCTTCCAATTAAAGTTGTGTTTTCAGTTTATCCACGTGCCTGCTTGTTAGATTAACCGCTGATTTAAACTGACTGTAGATGTTAGCGTGAGCGTGGTGTTAAGGTTCAAAATATTGGGGATGGAGACAAGAGAAAAACCACAATAACAACACTGGTCCGGTCGGGTTGAGTCAAACGATGATTTAATGATCACACACGTGGGAGATGGACACTGATGCAGACAGCCTCAAAATCTCAAAATGGTGGAGCATTGCTCAAACTTTTATAGCCTCTGGTGCCTCCACCTTATCATAAAAGCCTAAACATTCACATGCTTTCTCTCACACAGCGCCTAAGCTACGACCTTGGCTCCCTGTTTATCTGCTCCTGCTGAGATGGGGCAGAAAACTCCAGCATGCTCTGTTCTCTTCTACTCAGACAAATTAGATTTCTTATAACTCAGCAGTATAATGCATCATAAAACAATATCATTCATTCACAACAAGTCAGCAGTTTAATGTAATGCAAATCAGTTTAACTAATGCAATAGTTATTCAGGAGAATAATGCAAACTAAAACTACATAATAATTCACAATCTTTAATTAGGGGTATAACATGGCATAAAATAATATTATAATCTAACAGTGGATAGCCGGATGAGACTGGTGACCTCTTCCTCTGAGAAAGCTGGGAAAGGCTCCAACCAACCCTGATTCTGGTGCTAAAATCAGATTCATAAGTTTGTTTGCAGCGTTATCCAAGCTGATGCTGCTTAGTGGCCTTGTACTTGTTCTCTAAATTAGGCATCAGGAAAGTTTCAGCCATATTTCCAGAAGGCCGTGGCAGAATGACACAATCCATTCTGCATCTGGAGACAGCGCAAAAGACACAGTGAGATAACAACATCATTACAAGGGCAGCTGTCCAGTTTTCCAACACACAGACTCACTGGCTGTATGCCATCACACCCCTGCCATTACAAAGTGTTGTTTTCACCACAGGGGTGCGCTGCCCTCACGACACGTGACCATGTGAAGCTAGCCTGCAGCGAACAAAATAGACGAGATCTCCACACAAGGCTGGCTTTTCTTGATTTTACTGAAGATCTTTTTAAGCCTTTCCTCGCTCAAGGCTTCTCTTTGCTGTTTCTTATTTCTAACTGAAATATACAGAAAGTGAAAATAAATTGTTAGCTGCTCTCCACGAAGGGAAAACCAATCCTGCAGGGAGACCTACCTCCGCACCTGTGCAGGTGAAGCCAAAGGGAAGATTTGCTTCACCATGTTTTCTAGTCTTTGGCTTAGAATGAAGTTGGTTTGGAAACATTCAGCGATGCTTCATCTCCTGCTTTGTGTTTGTGTGGGCGCCTGTGCTAGCAGTGTCCAAGCGTTGTTGTGTTTTTTTTTGTTTGTTTTTTTCCTTTTCATACCGCACCACCCCCCCTGCAATGGCTCTCCGCCCCTAGGGGGCGGGCCCCACACTTTGGGAAGGTCTGAGTTAGATGATGCTACATCAGCCCTTTGCCTTTTCTCCTTCTGGTCCTTTTCCCTGTGTGGACACGATGAACGTGTAAACCTCATTGCTCCTCCCACTCTGCCGTCATTTCAATGTTTTTATTGGCTCCTCTCACTCATCGACTTCTGTTGTTTCTGTGTTTTTGGCTGAAGGAAGTTTTCAATAATCGTGTTTGTTGTTTTCATCTCGACTGAATTTTCTTTTCAGTTTTTTTTTTTTGTTAGTTTTTTCTTGTGTGGAAATAAAGATGAGAAGACATTTATAGACAAAGAAGGTGAGGTGAAAGTCTTGTATTTACAAATAGCTTCTTTCCATAATCTCTAAAACAATATAACATGTAAGTTACTTGTGTGACTGCGTTGTGTTTATGTAAAACCTGTGTCTGTTACTGGCTGCAGGTGAAAATGCTGAATTGGAGGCTTTCTGAGGAGTTTAGAAAGCCTCCAAACACACGACGTTAGACCAGTAGACTCGGGCCCAGCCTGGTTTCATTTTAACTGTAATTTAGGCCCTAAAGCTACTGGGTTACGCTCAGGAAAAGATCATGACTTATGTTCCCTTCAATTCAATTCTATCTTATTCTGTTTATATAGCACCAAATCACGGCGCCTTGTATTGTAAGGTGAGAGCCCTACAATGATACAGGGAAAATCTACAGTCAGATGAACCCTTATGATTAAGTGTCTGGCAACATTGGAAAAGGAAGAAACCTCCAGCTAAGGGGGGGGGGTTGTTCTGCAACACCTGGGCACCAGGATCCAAGACGCCCTGGTGGTCAGTTAGAAAAAAAATGCATGTTTGTGCATCACAAAACTTTGGTGTCAAAGCTCAACCAAAGCCGACTGATGGACTCGTGTGACACGTTCCAGTTAAACCTCCTTGGCTGCAGTTTGGTATATGCATCCTCCACCATAAGGCTCCTTAGACTAATATAACTGAGTATATAACACAGCTGAATGAGACCACAGGTTTTAGAAAACAGGCTCTGCAGCATTTGTCTCTGTCATAATACCCTCTTCACTTAATTACGATCTGTGAGGCTTTTCAGCAAAGCAGATGTGATAAAGAGGAAAACATGGGTTTTATATTAAACCTCCTCCAGATCTCCAGTGAAGCTCATATTAAATCTGAAACGCTCTAAAACTGGAGTCTGAGTTTTTCCCGTTTGGAAAGAATTAACCTGCATTAATACGAATCTGCTGAAACCAAATGCTGTTTTTCTTTTCACTGCAGGTATCATCAGAATCTCCTCGACCTCATCGAATCCATCGTTACCAAAAAAGCCGCAGGCCTGAGCCTTCCTGGCGGCTTTACTGACCTGCCTGCTAATCAGCAGCCCCGCCGGAGGCCGGGACTCTGAGGACACCAAAGACAGAAGACGTCTCGGCTGATCTGGATGCTCTTTGTTTCTGTCATTTCCTGTTTCCACACTGACGCCGATCTGCAGCCTGGACACGGTGGATGTAAAAGAAACCACGCCGCTCTTTTCTCGACACAATTCTTCGCGATGTCGCCTCGCAGGAGGTGACGTGTGGCTCCTCCTAACATGTAGCCAGGACGACCTGAAGAGCCCTCCCACAAACTTTCCTTCAAACAGGCCGATCGCTGCCGGATGAGTGAACGCTCACTCCCACAAAACACAAACTGAGACGCTGCGCGAGGGTTCATAAAGTGCTACCGGCTCATTATCAGCCACGGCGCTTCCTATTTTCATCTTTAATCTTTGTATTCTGAGTAATCATCTTTTTAATTAATGGTGACGGCGGCATGAAATCTTCCCCACCGCCCTCCTTTTCTCCCGGTGCCACCTGAAACCAATTAGCAACAGCAGATCTAGATGGGGATTAGACACGGGGGGAGCAGCCGCGATTAGACACAAACACAACGACAGAAGAAGAGAGCCTGAGAACAAAGCCGGAGGCGGGGTTAGGGAGGGGCCCGCTGTCCATTCTGGGTGATCGATAGAAGGGAGGAATAGATATGGATACGGCCGGATTGGGGAGGCAACCCTCAGCAGACGCAACAGCCAGGTGTGAGTCAGCAGGTGGAGTCGATTGTCGGTGCCCAGAGTCGTGACTGACAGGAGCTCCGGCCGCCCGGGACTCTTTGTCATTCCCTGCACGGAGCGGCAGAGCACGAGGAGAGACTCCTGGCTCGTCTCCACAATCAGGGCCAATTAAGAGAATTTGATTATATGCCTTAATCTTGGCAGTCAGGTGGAAAAAGCAGACAGAAGAGAAAGAGGAGGCAGAGCAGGTGCCACCGATACACACCATTATCTCCGTCCATCTCTAATTGAGTTTGTTGCTGCCCTCGCCGGGTGCTCGCCTCATCTCCTCTACAAAAGAAATCTGTCTTCAAGAGTTTTTCTCGAGAGAAAAACAGAACAGAGAAATAAAGGCAAGGCCCTCTGTCTCCTGCCGTAAATGCTCTTTCTTTACCTTCTGCAAACACTTTCACTCGGATCTCCCTTCAGAGACATTCCCCATCTCCCTCACCTTTTCCAAGTCCCTTTTCATCCCACCTTCCAGACTCACAGTCCCAGTATGGACATGTCCAGTCTCCCTGCAGTTTTCACAATCTCCATATCAAGAGTGAGATAAAAGTATTATAGAGGAGAGGGCAGAAAGCAGCGAGAGGCTGAATCTGCAGAGGACGGAGCACAGACTTTATTTCCTCCCATCGACCGTCCCCGAAGCTTCAGTTCCTCTTCTTAAACTCCCTCCTCTCCCCTGGAGCTTTTCCAAGCTCTCCTCTGTGGATCGTACTCTCTGCAGTGACCGTCCGACCCGGACTTTTCCCAGACTTAACCGACCTCCGTCATCCGAAGCAATCCTTTGATATCGGCTCCTCGTGTCCTCATCTTCATTCCGTGAGTACTTCAGTTTTCCTGCCTCCTCTCCCTCTCTCCTTCCTGTCCCTCCCAGTTTTGTTCCAAGATGATGTGATGGATGATACAGGCAGTCGCAGTATCACACAAAGGTTTGCTAGGCTGAGGTTTGTTGAGACTGAAACAGGTTCTGGCTTCTTCTCCTGAATTCGGGGGCTGTTGCTTGGATTGAACATGTTGGACTCATTCATGTGACAAGAGGAACATGCTAACACTGCTAACACATAAGAACTGTAATTTTCACTTCACTGCACCAACAATATTCAATATTCACACCATTCACGACTGCACCTGTCAGGGTGAGCTGCTCGCACCATTGATCGACATCTCTATGTAATATGGTGTTAGCATCAGCAGGAAGCTGTGTTATCTTTTCCCCAAGAATCCAGAAACCCATTAATGACAGAGCGGTGGTGATGTCCATCGTTTATGTACAGGGTGTGGTTAAATGCTGAGATGTTGTTGTGCTACATTTTGTTGAAGACTCTTATTTTGAAGGGAACAGTTGACGGTGATATTCCCGGTGGCTCATCAGTGGATATAAACTTCCTGGACATTTGTTCAGTGAAGATCTTGTTTCTTTCCACTTTGATCCTTCTGCTGGTGCAGGTGAGAGTGCCGTGTCGGCTGCTGTGCTGCATGCAGAGACAAAGCATTTAGCTCATGCGTGACCCTGTGGGCGGCGTGCAGGTTTGTGACTTCCTGCCGTCGTCTGAACCGCTGCTGCACACGACTGCGACGCAGCACACATTTTTACTCTTGGTGCTTTGAATCGATCAGGTCGCCTGATATTTGCTGTGCTGCTTTAGTTATAGGCAAAACTTTAGAGGGATAAAAGTTTAATGATGGCAAACATATGATGTGAGTAGTAGCTGCGCTTTTTTGCCCCTTTTATTGAACAGATTCGGCACCAAAGACAACAGATCTGGTGTCAGATACAGCATGAATGGTAGAGACAGGTAGGGGCTGGTTGCAAAGTGGCTTGCAGCATTGCTGTGACGTTTACTAACTGGTTATCAGCTGATTTGAGCCGGCATTAACCTCCTAAGACCCGAACTCTTCCACAGCAGTATTTTTAATTTCACTTTGATATTTGGGCTGATTGGGACCTGATGAAGGTAAAAACAAAAATTACCAATTTTCTTTTTACCTGATTTTTGTTTCTAAGGAAGATCAGAGCCACATATGAGGACATTCGTTTAAAATGTTGATAGAACAGTAGCAGGATAACGTCCTCGTAAGTGGATATCAGGTCATTGTAAAATTGAGTATTTTGGTCTAAATAACCCAAAATGTGACGTCCACATATGTGGACGCAGGTCCTAGGAGGTTAAGAATAGTTGCCTGGATTTTACATCCAGTATCACTTATGCTTCCTGCTAATATGAGCTGAGACTCACTCTTGTTTTTGGAAATCTCCGCTAACAGAAAGCCCCCAAAGTCCGCTATGGTGGGCTCCTGCAGGGCAGCGTGTTCTCCTCCGTGCACAGCTAGGTGTGAGCTATGCAGAGTTTGATGAAAAGTACAGCGAGTAAAAGAAATGCAGCTCTTCTCATAAGTGGATGAAATTGCTGGAGCGCTTTGAAAGGTCTTTGCTGTCGTGTGAACTACCAGCAGCTTCAAAGGTTATGGATGAAACGGAGAAAACACGAGAGCAAAGCTGGATTTACTCAGACGCAGAGTTTGGACGCCTCTCAGCATACATGTCGCTGCATTGTTGAACACACACACATCCTGTGCTAACACCATTATCTCTGCTCCTTGAAGGTGTACGCAGAAATCCACCAATATAGGACATTTCAGAGATGAGCGTCGTCTCGAGTCTGGCAGTAATCTGGTGACTGTCCAACAATTCAATTCAATTCAATTCAATTCAATTCAATTCAATTCAATTTTATTTATATAGCGCCAAATCACAACAAAAGTCGCCTCAAGGCGCTTCATAGATACAGAGAAAAACCCAACAATCATATGACCCCCTATGAGCAAGCACTTTGGCGACAGTGGGAAGGAAAAACTCCCTTTTAACAGGAAGAAACCTCCGGCAGAACCAGGCTCAGGGAGGGGCGGGGCCATCTGCTGTGATTGGTTGGGGTGAGAGAAGGAAGACAGGATAAAAGACATGCTGTGGAAGAGAGACAGAGGTTGATAACAGATATGATTCAATGCAGAGAGGTCTATTAATACATAGTGAGTGAGAAAGGTGACTGGAAAGGAAAAACTCAATGCATCATGGGAATCCCCCGGCAGCCTACATCTATTGCAGCATAACAAAGGGAGGATTCAGGGTCACCTGGTCCAGCCCTAACTATATGCTTTAGAAAAAAGGAAAGTTTTAAGCCTAATCTTAAAAGTAGAGATAGTGTCTGTCTCCCGAATCCAAACTGGAAGCTGGTTCCACAGAAGAGGGGCCTGAAAACTGAAGGCTCTGCCTCCCATTCTACTTTTAAATACTCTAGGAACAACAAGTAGGCCTGCAGAGCGAGAGCGGAGCGCTCTAATAGGGTGATGTGGTACTACAAGGTCATTAAGATAAGATGGGGCCTGATTATTTAAGACCTTGTATGTGAGGAGCAGGATTTTGAATTCAATTCTGGATTTAACAGGAAGCCAATGAAGGGAAGCCAAAACAGGAGAAATATGCTCTCTCTTTCTAGTCCCTGTCAGGACTCTTGCTGCAGCATTTTGGATTAGCTGAAGGCTTTTCAGTGAGTTTTTTGGACATCCTGATAATAATGAATTACAGTCGTCCAGCCTGGAAGTAATAAATGCATGAACTAGTTTTTCCGCGTCACTCTGAGACAGGATATTTCTAATTTTAGAGATGTTGCGCAAATGGAAGAAAGCAGTCTTACATATTTGTTTAATATGTGCGTTGAAGGACATGTCCTGGTCAAAAATGACTCCAAGGTTCCTCACCGCGTTACTGGAGGCCAAGGTAATGCCATCCAGAGTAAGAATCTGATTAGATACCATATTTCTAAGATTTTCAGGGCCGAGTACAATAACCTCAGTTTTATCTGAATTAAGAAGCAGAAAGTTAGCGGCCATCCAGGTCTTTATGTCTTTAAGACATTCCTGCAGTTTAACTAATTGGTGTGTGTTATCTGGCTTCATGGACAGATAGAGCTGGGTGTCATCTGCATAGCAGTGAAAATGTATGCTATGTCTTCTAATGATACTGCCTAAGGGAAGCATGTATAATGTAAACAGAATTGGTCCTAGCACTGAACCCTGTGGAACTCCATAATTAACCTCAGTGTGTGAAGAGGACTCTCCAGTTACATGCACAAACTGGAGTCTATTAGATAGATATGATACAAACCACTGCAGCGCAGTACTTGTAATACCTACAGCATGTTCTAATCGCTCTAATAGGATATTATGATCAACAGTATCGAACGCTGCACTGAGGTCTAGCAGGACAAGCACAGAGATGAGTCCACTGTCAGAGGCCATAAGAAGATCATTTGTAACCTTCACTAAAGCTGTTTCTGTGCTGTGATGAGCTCTGAAACCTGACTGAAACTCTTCAAATAAACCTCTGCAGATGATCTGTTAGCTGTTTGACAACTACTCTTTCAAGGATTTTTGATATGAAAGGAAGGTTGGAGATTGGCCTATAATTAGCTAAGACTGCTGGGTCTAGAGATGGCTTTTTGAGTAAAGGTTTAACTACAGCCAGCTTGAAGGCCTGTGGTACATAGCCGATTATTAGAGATAGGTTGATCATATTTAAGATCGAAGAATTAATTAATGGCAGGACTTCTTTGAGCAGTTTTGTAGGAATGGGGTCTAAAAGACACGTTGATGGTTTGGAGGAAGTAATTATTGAAGTTAACTCAGAAAGATCAATTGGAGAAAAAGAGTCTAACTTAATATCAATGGTACTAAGAGTAGCTGTAGATAATATTACATCTGTGGGATGATTATTGGTAATTTTTTCTCTAATGATAAAAATTTTATTTGTGAAGAAGTTCATGAAGTCATTACTAGTTAACGTTAAAGGGATTGTTGGCTCAAAAGAGCTCTGACTTTTTGTCAGCCTGGCTACAGTGCTGAAGAGAAACCTAGGGTTGTTCTTATTTTCTTCAATCAGTGATGAATAGTAAGATGTTCTGGCTTTGCGGAGGACTTTCTTATAAAGCAGCAAACTATTTCTCCAGGCTAAATGATGATCCTCTAAATTTGTGACACGCCATTTCCTCTCCAGATTACGAGTCATCTGCTTTAGGGTACGTGTTTCAGAATTATACCACGGAGTCAGGTACTTCTGATTTGAGGCCTTAGTTTTCACAGGAGCTACAGTATCCAGAGTCGTACGTAGTGAGGAGGTGAAATTATTAACAAGATAATCGACCTCTGTTGGGGTAGCGTTCAGATAGCTGCTTTGCTCTGTGTTGGTACAGGGCATTGGAGATGATAACAGTGGGTGGATTATATTCTTAAACTTAGTTACAGTGCTTTCAGAAAGACATCTACTTTGATAAAGTCTACTCTTCACCGCTGTGTAATCAATTATTGTAAAAGTAAATGTTATCAGGAAATGATCAGACAGGAGAGGGTTTTCAGGAAACACTGTTAAATGTTCAGGTTCGATGCCATATGTTAAAACAAGATCTAGAGTGTGATTAAAGTGGTGGGTGGGTTCTTTTACATTTTGAGAGAAACCAATTGAGTCTAATAACAGATTAAATGCCATGTTGAGGCTGTCATTTTTAGCATCTACATGGATGTTAAAATCACCCACAATAATTATTTTATCTGAGCTCAGAACTAAATCAGATAAAAGGTCTGAGAAATCAGAAACTCTGTGTAAGGCCCAGGTGGACGATAGATGATAACAACAGAGATGCTAATGGCCAATTCTGCATCATTTTAATGTTAAAATGATCGTTTGTTAATCACAGCTGTGTGTTCCTGTTAGATGAGCTAAAACTTTCTATTTCCTCCCTCCGACTCTAAAGTCCAAGGACGAAGTG